CAGGGTTTTAAGAAGATCCAATTTGTTTGCAACTCTTCCACAAAGATGTGGAGAATACTATATTTTAGGTGATAGTGGGTACCCATGTTTACATTTGTTAACTCCATTTAAAGACAGGGGTCATTTAACAAGGCGACAAAGAAATTATAATTACCTATTGTCAAAAAATAGATATGTAATAGAGCATTGTTTTGGCCTTCTCAAACAAAGATTTAGGCAGCTATATCATATTAAACTTAGAAATATTTCAGATATAGTCCATTTTATAAGGGCTACTGCAGTGCTACACAACATAGCAATTGACAATAATTTGCCATTTGAACATCAATTGAATGTTGATGCACCTCATCTTCCCATTGCCAATAGAGATGAAATTGATGACGAAGATGATGTAGATGGTGTTGCAAAAAGAAATGCCATCATGAATCGTTTAAATTTGATATTGTAATTGTCTTTAATAAACTATAATCAAACACTTTCAAATTATTTGCTTTATTAAACAAACCATTATTTTATATATCGATGGCTTAGTATGAAAACCCTTCATCTTATTTTACAGGAGAGACTTTAAACTGCATTTCTGTAACTTAAAATATGTGTAACCATCTAAATATGCTCAGAATCAAATCAGTTTAAAGTCTCTCCTGTAAAATGACATACATAGTTCACAGTTGTACTAAGCCAGCCATCCTTATATTTAAAAAAACCTTTTTGTAGTTGTTCTTAGGGTAAAATATTAACACCTCCCCTTTATAGATTTTAAATCAACCTATAATAATATGAAGCCATTAAACAATTTTTCCATTCCTATCAAACTAAATAAGAACTTATAAGTCCTGCAATGTGTAAAGTTTTCAAAGTAGATATACAGGCTAAGCAATGACAAATGTTTGAACACCTATTGGACCAAGGCCGGGAAATGTGCTGGCACGTCTTTTATTCAACTTAATTTTGGAAAATGTAGCTGACATCAGATATAGAAAACAGAGAAAATATCTTTAACAAACCCTCAAAAATTATGGCCTATGCATATGATCAAGCACTAATCGCTCATAAAACAAGCAAAAAATTTACATCATTTTCTCAAATACCTCCAAAATATGAGCTTATAAATAAAGAAAACAAAATAATGACAAACAACAGAGCCAGAACCTTTAAAGTGGTGGACAAATTCATATATGAATGAAATCAAAATGAGAATAATTGTGACAAACAAGTGCTGTTTTGGGTTCTGTCTTCTTCAAGAAATATTTGGTGGTATCAACTATGAAATATACCACAAATATGAACAGATATATGGTGATAAAGATATAACATAGCTCATAATAATAGGAACACTAAGATGGGTAGGACATCTAGCAAGATTAGAGCAGAACAACCTTCCTAGATGAATCGTAATGTCACATAAAGAGGAAGGTAGACAAAGAGATAGGCCTAAACTTAGTGGTAAAATATCGAAAACTTAGTAGTGAAGTTCGGTTCGGTTCGTATGCCCCTTTGTCCGCTTCTCGTCGATCGATGCTGGTAGGGTTAATAAATGTTGAAGTTGTGGAGTAAAAGTGATTATTTATTGACAGCAACTCGTAATTACACAATATGGTGTTCGTTCGGTAACTACTCAATATTGACTGTGTTCATTTGAACTCAAATCCCCAATTTATAATCTCACACATAATAGATACATAAGCACCTTAGGTCATTGCTTCGTTCATTCACACCACCTAGCTTTTGCTTATAATACAATTTAATCTACGCCTTAATTGCGACACTTACGAAGTTCAATTAGAAAATATTATTATTCGGCAATTTAGTTAGTTGTAGGTAAATGAACTAATATTAAATTATCATACGATATGGTTTTGCAATATATATAATGCAAACTTGTACACGGTGAAACTATAAAAGATTAAGAAGTTAAGAATAATGTGAGATTACAAATTAAGGGGTTAATTTGTGATTGAACATATTGGACACTATATAAATCAAACAGACGAAAATATTTAAACACATATAAAATATAAATAATAATAATAATAATAATAAACATAACACTAATTCACTCGGTTTTTGAATTATTATCTCACCCGAGCAGTGCTACCTATAATTTGATTATTTAGAATTCATGTTTCAGCTAAACTATCTAATTCAAATCTAAGCTCATTAAGTGAAATTGATCTAGGAGGAGAAGTGATATTTCATAATTTTAACAGCACTTTCCCATAAAACTCCAAAATGTGGCCCATAGGCTGGTGTAAAGTGCCAATGTGTTCCTAATGTTGTTAAGGAGTCTGTTAATGATGCCTTCATTTTCTCACTATTTTGGAATAACAGGTTTGCTGCTCCTACAAAGTTTGTTCCATTGTCACTGTATATATGACTGCACTGTCCCCTTCTTGAAGTAAATCTCTTAAATGCAGCTACAAATGCATCCGTTGTCATATCGCTTACTACTTCGAGATGTACAGCTTTTGTGGCTAGACATACAAATACTGCTATATATCCTTTATAGCTCTTGTACCCTCTTCCTTTCGTTGCTCTTATTTTGATTGGTCCGGCGTAGTCTACACCAGTATTTGCAAACGGATGAGCTTGGTTTACCCTCGCTCTTGGTAAACTTCCCATTAATTGTTGGGCTGTTTCGGCCTTTTATCTTTTACATTTAACACAAGTGTTTATTTCTTCTCGCACTACTCTTTTTCCGTGCGTGATCCAAAATCTTTTCTTTATGTAGTGCAGAGTTTGTTGTAGGCCTCCATGCAACGTTTTTGTATGGCAATGTTGTATTATTAGTTTACTTAATTTGCTTTTGTGAGGTATTATTAAGGGATGCTTTTCATCATGTGTTAACTCTGAGTTCTGAAGTCTACCTGTTACCCGTAACATGCTATGGTTATCCACATAGGGTAGTAAGTTTAGTAGTTTACTTCTTCCGTTAAGTGGTTTTCCACTCTTTAGCGTTTTTATCTCTTCTGCATAATATAATTCTTGAGTATTCTTTATTACTCTTTGCAAGGTATTTTCTAATTCGTGAGGGGTGAGTTATTGGTGTTCTACCTCACTTTTTTTGCATTTGTAAGCAAATCTAATGCACTGAGATAATACTCGTTGCATTCTATTTAACCCTTTCGCTCACGACTTTTTGTTTCACAAACAAAAATTCTAAAATTGAAGATACAAAATAGATGATTTTTTTTAAGATTTTTAATATAATTTACAAAATTTTCTAATTTCCCAATTAAGAGTTATAGTATGTATCCAAACGTATACATGTGACTTGCAGGTAAAATTGATTAATTAAATTTTTATTTGTAAAATAAAATAAAATGTGATTTCTGTATATAGAATTGGTAGTTATTATAAAAACTCATTACAAACTTTTATTTATTTATTATGAAATGCCAAAAAACAGTTTTTATTTTTTGCAAACATAAGTGAATGTTACATTTGACACACATAATACGACTTTGTCCTCTACAATCAGGATTTTTACATCTTGATGCATATGAATTTCCGTCAACAGAAGGTAAGTGTCCTGTGTTATCATATCTGACATCTGGAATTGGTCTGGTTTCAGACTTGGCCTTTTTGGGTGTCGAAGAAGTATTTTCAGAATCTTGCTCTGATAGCGGTCGTCCTCTTCTTTTATTATTGCATTTGTTAACTTTTATTAGAGCTTCTGCTATGTAAGCTCTAAATGCCAATAAATCTAAAATTTCATTTTTTCGAATCCCAAGTGCTGTGGCTTTGCTTTTATATTCTAGCCATGCATTACAACAAGCAAGGTCTATCCGTGTGCAAACATTCGAAGAGTCCATTTTCGTGATCGTATAAAAGTTCGATATAATGTTAACAAAAAATCTAATTTATCAACACCACCCATAGCTGAATTATAAGTCTTTACGACTTCTGGTCTAGGGACATCAATATATTTTTTTTGTATTTTATCCCATCGCCTGCAGGTGTCTGGTGTCCCTTTACCTATGTAATTAGATGCCAACACAACACTTTTATTGTCATACCATTTTGTTAAAATTACTTCACCATCTTTACTTATCAGTTCTTCAATAGTTCCTCTACCTCTCTGTTTCATAACTTGGTCGTTGGAAAATGGTGGTTTGTGGAATCTATCAACGCGAGCTGTGCAGCATGCATAAATGTGTTTATTTCGTAAATATTGAAGAATATTGTAATTAGAAAAATAATTATCAAAATGTAATTGAACATTTGCTACAGTAATTCTTTTAGCCAATGTTGAGATCACTGCACCTGCAAGTCCAAAAATATCAGAGTGATTTTGTATGAACTCTGTTGATGAGCCTTGATAGATTATGAATCATACATCAACCCACTGCGGCCACACAAAGCAAAAATTTTGATGCCCCATTTTGTGGGTTTATTTTTAATATATTGTTTTATGTTAAGACTACCTTTGAATGGAACCATCTGCTCATCGATACATAATTCTGATTCCAAAGGAAGTAATAAGCATCTTTGTCTAATAGCATTATATAAAGGTCTGACTTTCCACATTCTATCACTATTTTCTGGGTTTTTAGTGACGTCAACATATGAACATTTTGTCTTAGTTTATAAAATCTATTTACAGCATACTATTAGCAATAAAGGGATCTCTAGCTTTGATTGCCAGTAACATTTTATGCGTGGATAGTGTAAATTACCCATTATTATATGGATGCCAACAAATGTTTTCATCTCGTCTACACTTGTAGGATGAAATCTAACTCCCTGCTGAACTGCAAATAAATTGGTCTTTTCAGTCAAAAGTTCAAAAATATCGTTCGAAAAGTATTGACTAAAAAAATAAAAAGGGCTTTCTAATTCAATAAAATCTTTGTTGGTATTCTTGTACCATTTTACTGTCGGTGTAATGTAAACCAGCCCTGATCGCCACTGAATGTCTTTTTCAGTGTCAACTCATTATCTGCCATAAATTTTTGAATAGTTTCTTGTTTTTCTGATTTTGTTTTCTTCTTTATTACCTTCTGAAATTTAGCTGGTTCTATACAGACACCTGATGTACTTGGCTGGGGTATATTTACAACTGACTCTGCATCAACTTCCTCAATATTTTCATATGTCTTGTCCTGTTCTTCAGTTTGATGCTCTTCTTCACCAACACCTTCTTCGACATTTTCCAGATCAAAAAGGTCTTCATATCACTCAAATCATCCATCCATCCAGTATTCTCCTCGTCATCACTAAGACAGTCGATGTCCGAAAGACCCTTCTCCATTTCTTCCAATAACTCTTCTGCTGTCAAGGTTTTTTTAGATTACGTTTGGTACTCTAAAATACAAAATATACTTACTCTTATTGAGAAAAAATAATAAATAGGTTTTACTTACCATGACTTTTTCACCTTTTCGTTCACACTGTGTTCAATTGAATACAACAAATTATAACATCAATTGTCTATTATTTCACACTGTATGCAATTGAATACATCAACTTCAGATACTAATAATCGTATTACTGTTAATTACCTAAAGTGTCCAACTGAATATTAGCATAAAGATAACCTTTCTCAACAATACACAACTATCAGTACATTTTATATTGTCATAGGTATGTCCAGTTGATAATTTAGGAAGTTATGTAATGAGATCGCGAAGTCACTATAGCAACCTCTCTCAATAATTGTTTTCTAAGTTCATCTACTTAACCATAGATGGCAACACATATCGTATATGAAAAATTAAATATTACTGATATTAAATATATCAGAATTAAAGGAAAATTTCCGCTAAATTTGTACGTAGGTATACGAATTTGATGTATTCAATTGAATACACTATGAGCGAAAGGGTTAAATTTGAGAATCTTTCGCAGATGTCACTAATCTTGACGGTTGTGTTAGCTATTATTTCTATTCTCTTTTTCTCTTCGTCGGTATCCAATCTCTCTGGTAGTGGAAACCTAATATTTGTTTGATTTAGCCAGATTGGCCCATTCCACCATAGGTCCATCCTCACTAAGTCCTTTGCCTTTATCCCTCTAGATAAATAGTCTGCTGGGTTTTCTTTTGTATCTACTTTAAACCAGCGATCAGGTTGTATGGTGCCTGTTATTTCCATTACTCTGTTCGCTACAAACGTTTTCCATCTATTTGGTTGTCCTTGTATCCACGCCAGAGTAATTGTGGAATCAGACCATGCATATATTTCCACATCACTGCGATTTAACGCTTGAATTGTTCTTTTCATGAGTCTGCTAAGCAGCAATGCTGCACGCAATTCTAACCTCGGCAATGTTGTTAAACCTTTAACTGGTGCAACTTTTGTTTTGGCTACTATAAGGCTCGTTTTTACCTCAGGACATAATGTTCTAGTATATATTACTGCTCCGTATCCTTTCGTAGACGCATCAGCAAATCCGTGCAATTCTATTTTCCCTGAATTGGTAAGATTATTCCACCTAGGTATTACTATCTCTTCGAGGTGTTTTAGCTGTGAGTAATACTCAATCCATCGTCTTTGATCAGACTTATCCAATTCTTTGTCCCAACTTATCCTTTTTGTCCACAAATCTTGTATAAATATTTTTGATTGCATTATCACTGGCGCAATCCATCCTAATGGGTCATATATTTTTGCTATTTCCGATAACACCAACCTCTTTGTTATTTTTTTTATGTTCGGTTATAGTTATTTTAAATGTAATTACATCTTCAACTGGTAACCAGTGGATCCCTAGCGTTTTATGTATCTCTTCTGTGTCTAACGTTTTGAGATCGACACTTTTTAGATCCTCTGGTATGGTTTCCATTAAATCTTGACTATTACTAAGCCATTTTCTTAATACAAAACCCCCTTTTTTAAACATTTCTGTTAACTCTGTTTGAGCTTGTTGAGCTTCAGCCAACGTTTCTGATCCAGCTAGTACGTCGTCTACGTACATGTTGTGTTTAACAATTTCCGCAGCTAGTGGATATTTAAATTTCTCGTCACTACATAATTCCTTTATCGTTCTTAATGCAAGATATGGCGCTGCCTTCGTACCGTATGTTACTGTTGACAACTGATACTCCTTTATTGGTTCTTTTACAGACTGTCTCCATAATATCTTCTGATAAACTTGATCTTCTTCAGCTATCTTTATTTGCCTAAACATTTTCTCTAGATCTGCCGTGTATGCTATTTTGTACGACCTCCAATTTATTAATATATTTGTAAGATCTTGTTGCAAACGAGGTCCAGAGTGCATTACATCATTGAGGCTGATTCCTGTTGAACTTTTACTGGAAGCGTCAAACACGGCCCTGCATTTTGTTGTGATACTATCCTCTTTTATTACCGCATGATGAGGAAGGTAATACTCTTGCTTAATAATAGTTTCGGTTTTATTCAATTTCATGTGCCCTAAGTCTTCATATTCCTGCATAAATTTCCTGTACTCTTTTTCTAGATTTCTGTCTCTTTGAAATTTTTTCTCTAATTGCAGCAGTCTCGCATATGCTTGCTGTTTTGAGTCTCCTAATTGGCTTGTATTAGAATTAAAGGGTATTTTAACTTCAAATCTTCCTTCGTTATCCCTTTTTACTGTTCTTTTATAATATTCTTCACACTCTTTTTCTTCTACTGAAAGAGCATTGCTTTGATCTACTTCTTCTAACTCCCAGTATTTTTTTATTTGTTCATCCATTTCTTGTCTAAATATCATGCTGACTACTTGTATATTAGGGATATTCTCTTGCTGTGCTATCCCTGATATTATCCAACCCAATTTTGTATTTTGGGTGAGCAAACCATCTTTTGTTCGATCTACTCCGTCCAGTAATATCAAACAGATTCTTTGGCTCCCAATAGAATATCTATTGGACCTGTTTTATTAAAATTTGGATCCGCCAGGACTAAGTTCCTATGGTTCGTTTCTTTTATTTGTATCTCTTTCTCCGGTAGATTTTTTGTAATTTTTCTTAGTACAATTGCTTCGGTCTTCATTTCAAATTCATTTTTGAAATGCGCCTCTAAGTTTAATGTTACGCTCCATTTCGACGTCCTTTGGTCTTCATTGCCAATTCCAGATATCTGAGCGTGGACAGCTTTTCTTTTTATTCCGAGACTTGTAGCTGCCTGCTCCGTAATGAATGATGACTGCGAGCCTTGGTCAATCAATGCTCTCATCAATTGTGAGCTTCCTTTTGAGTCTCTTACTCGTACTAATGCCGTTGCAAGTAGCACTTCTTCATTCTGATGACTTAAACAGCTCACGACATTCTCTTGTCTCCTTGACGATCCATCGTAACTGTTGTCACCTCTGTTCCCACTAGAATTGGGTCTATTTTGTGGCCTTCTGTTTTCAGAATTCCTTCTGTTGTCATACTGGCACCCACTAGAATTTGGTCTATTCTGTGGCCTTCTGTTTTCAGAATTCCTTCTGTTATCATGCTGACCTTCTGACATGTGTAGTAATGAATGGTGCTGTCCACCACATTCTGCACATCTATGAGAGGAATAACATGGTACTTCCCTTTTGTGTAGTAGGCATCTACCGCACCATTGCTTTTCCTTTACGATTTTGTTTCTTTCACGTACTTGTTGACGTAGAAACGTTGTACATTTCAACAGTTTATGTTCTTCATGACACACCACACAGGTTATCTTCTTCTTTACCTGTTGTCTATGATCTGTTCCTTTCCTTTCTGTTTCCAACATCTCCAATGTCTGGAATCTTCTTTGTAGGAATTCCTGTGTTGACTTATATGTCGGAATGTCCCTACTGTCTTGAATTGACGTTTCATATAATCTCCTGGTTCTGTGTCCCACTTTAACATACTTATCCTTGCTATAAGAGGGCTCCAGGACTCTGTCATTACACCTAGTCCACTAATAGCTTCTAAGCATTCGTGGAGAGTATCATGTAATGATTTCAGCGCCTTTGCTGACGTTTCTTTTATTTCCGCAGCCTGAAGTATCTTGTCTATTAATATAAATAGATTCATCCTTGGATTATCGTATCGATCTTGCAACATTTTCCAGGCAGCACTGTAGTTTGCTTCTGTTGTGTTTAAATGTTGTATTATTCTACTTGCTTCTCCTCGGAGGTTTGTCTTCAGATACTGCATTTTTTTCACATTTGATAGTTGATTATTCTCATGTATCAAACGTTTAAAAATATCATAGAATGTTACCCAGGATTCATACCTTCCTTCAAAACAGGGTAACTTCACTTGGGGTAATATTATTTTGTCTTTCTTGCATCCTTCCGCCTCTAATCTCTTATTTTCTTTTATGATCGACCGCACCCTTCTTTTCATTGTATAAAATCTTTCTATTTCACCTTCTTCTAGTGCATCCTGTTCATTGTCCACAGTTATTTCCATTATTAATGTATCTATTTTTTGTACCTCTTCTTTTAAATCCTCTTGTAAATCTTCATCGGTTTCGTCGTCTTCCAATAAATGATGAAGTTTCCCCATCCTAATTTCTATTTCTCTAATTTTTGTCGAAGACTTGTACGAATTTTTAATAAATTCCTCGTAAAGTCTTTTTCGTTTCTTCATATCTTTTTTGTACTTGTTCGTAAAAGTTAGATGTAAAATATTTATCAACTCTCGAACCTTTTTCTTCAATTTCTGTGTTTTGATCTTCAAAGTCGTTCCACAATTCATCAAGTGTCTGTCTTTTAATGTTTAAATATTCTCTCGTTCGTTTTTCTTTCCGTAGTTTTCGCAAATTATTTAAAAGCTTCGTAATTTCTTGACCTAGCTTTTCCTGATCTAAATATAATCGTTCCATTTTAAACGAATATAAGTTTGACCTAATTTCAACTTTTAAACTAGTGTCAGCAAGATTACCTTAGACAGTAACGCAAAATGACCTCTTGTCTAACCTTTGTGACACGGCTATATAGTACAAATTAAATAATGTAATAGTATCACTTGTAACCAGCGAGAAAATTCTTTATATAAAAAATGCAAATACTACAAAATACTATATATTTGGAATGAATGAACTCTGACTGTGTATAAAAATAACGATTTGTCACGATATTTCCCTATATTATGAAAATCAAATGTTTTAAAAATTTTAAATTATAAGAATCAAATCATCGAATATAATTAAAATTAAGATAATTAAGCTATTAGATTTGAATTAGCTGTAGACAAACTATTACTATTTTAAGTAAAAAAGTATGCAGTATAAAATATTTCCAAATAAGTATTATTCAATTTGAATCTTAAGTTTCTTCAATAATCTTTTTAATGTATTAAGTTAATGCACTGCTCTAAATGATAATAAATATTCAAAAACTTACAGTTTTATCCCGACGTTCACTTGTATGTTCCTGCTTCCTTCTTAGAACTGCAACTGGAACTGGTTAGCTGGATCTCTGGATGCTACTAGATTTTTCTGCTGGAAACTGGACCTCCAAACTGCTGCATTAGTAGACTTAAGGACTGCTATTAAAGTTCTCTGGTGATCAAAGGCTCTCGTAAGGCTCCTACCCCTTATTTCGGTGCTTTCTGGTCTTTTTTATTTCTGTTTTCTTTTCTCTACACTTCGAATTCGATCGTCGATCTTGTATGGAACTGGGAAATCGCTATTTAGGTCGCTAAGGGTCGTCTCCTTCGAAGCTCCAAACCAATTAACGCCCTTTTGATGATGTTTTGACGAAGGACCAATGTAAAAAATATCGAAAACTTAGTAGTGAAGTTCGGTTCGGTTCGTAATGCCCCTTTGTCCGTTTCTCGTCGATCGATGCTGGTAGGGTTAATAAATGTTGAAGTTGTAGAGTAAAAGTGATTATTTATTGACAGCAACTCGTAATTACACAATATGGTGTTCGTTTGGTAACTACTCAATATTGACTGTGTTCATTTGAACTCAAATCCCCAATTTATAATCTCACACATAATAGATACATAAGCACCTTAGGTCATTGCTTCGTTCATTCACACCACCTAGCTTTTGCTTATAATACAATTTAATCTACGCCTTAATTGCGACACTTACGAAGTTCAATTAGAAAATATTATTATTCGGCAATTTATTTAGTTGTAGGTAAATGAACTAATATTAAATTATCATACGATATGGTTTTGCAATATATATAATGCAAACTTGTACACGGTGAAACTATAAAAGATTAAGAAGTTAAGAATAATGTGAGATTACAAATTAAGGGGTTAATTTGTGATTGAACACTTAGATGGATGCATAATGTAGATAAAGATGATGAAAAAACTGGGTTCAGCAAACTGACAATAGATAGGACTGACTGGCAAAATAGACTTGGAAAGGATGGGGTTCTACTACAGGCTGTGCTGTAGTACCAATGATAATAATGATGACTTTATTAAAATAAAACTTAAACACTATCTATATAATGTATTCAATGTATCTACCTATATAAGTATTTACAAATAAAATTGAAATTTTAACTTACTATCTACATAACCTATCTCTATACATTTTTAAAAATAAAGGAACTTAAAATAATATTAAACATCCTATCTTTATCTATATACATATTTAAAAATAGGGGAACTTAACATAATAATATACACTTAAAATATCTTAATTTATTACTAAATTACTATTACTACTTTTATTTTGATCTATTAAAATTTTAAGAAGCTCGTTCTTCTCCCGCAAAATTTGGTTTTTTTCATTTTTTGCCTTAACTATCTCCTTCCATTTTTCTATTTTTGCTTCCAACATCCTTTCTTCTATGTTTAATTTTTTTTTATAGTACTCCTGCCTATCTTTTCTTGTTTCTTTTAATATACTTGCCCTAAGGGTTTTATTTTTATTGGTTTGTTTGACTTGGCTACTACTCATTTCACTCTGTGAAGTCTCTGCAGTTCTAGAACAAGATGGTTTTGGTTCGACTTGATGGTAATCTATAGTCTCTGTATTAAGGAGAATTTCCGGAACAATATTTTTCTTTTTGCCCAAGATTTCCTCTAGGGCATTGGCATATTCGAAATCCCTCCTTCCTCGTCCTGTCTGGTTATTGTGGTCCACATACTTCTTATAGCTTCTTTCCAATACTCTCCACTTATTCTCGCAATGTGCTGCTGTTATAATATTTATTTCAGTTACCTTTCTCAATTCACTGACAATAACTTCAAAAAGCTTTTTAAAACTTTTTACTTGGGAAGTCCCTACCAGTTTTCGGTACTTCTTATACAGGTTAATTAAGTGGAGAGTATTGGTGTGGTTCCACTTAAAACACTCTGGTTCTGGGGCTTCAACATTTATTATTAAATATTCATTTAAATCCATATCTACAACACACAGAAAAAAAAACAAAAGTAAGTATACTTACATATATATTTCAATTTATCGTGTTAAAGGTATTATACTTAAGTATGAAAAATACACAACATGAGGAGAAACAATGGCTCAATTTTGCCAGGAAGAAAAAATAATGATTGCAAATACTTGGTTTAAACTGTTAAATATACATGGAAAGCATCTCAAGATAATAAAAGAAACCCGATTGATTATTTACTAATTAGCAACAAATATGAAAGAAATCCTACAACTGATACAAACAAGACATAACAAGATTTTATAAAAATCAAAATAAAGTACAATATAAAAAGTAAAAGAAGCATGGATGAACATTATATGTGAGAAACTAGGGAATTTACTAAGAAAACCAAAACACATTCAATGAAAACAAAAAAAAAAGTCAAATACAAAGAATAAACTCTCTACTCTAGCAGATAACAGAAGTGGTATGTAGGAATCATATCTGCAATATACATCGCAAATCTCTTTGATGGTCAAAGAACAGAACAACAAATAAATACAGTCCAAAAAATATATAATTAGAAGTTACAAGACTGAGGAAACTTAAACAAAGAAAAAGGAAAAATATTTTTATGGTCAATAATTGCTTTCTATTTTTTACTTGCCCATTTTGGCAATATCGACTTTAAAATAAATTTTTTTAAAACTTCTCTAACCTCCTTGTAAATATAAACAAAACAGAAAACAACGTGTTAATTTTGGGGGTTAGGAACGGTCAGAAGCGTCCGGAAATCGTTCGCGGAGAATTGACAGTTAAAAACTAGTACCTAATTGCGCCAACGCACAACATTAAACCCGAATCGGTCCGAAATTGATCCAAAACTAGTCAGGGATTGTCTCCGCGAACAAAACTATTATAAATTTCATTTAGGGGTATCCATTCGAATCCTCCATAAGGAAGATAATAACTAATAGCCGCACCATACAGATTGTTAACATCCAAGTACATTACATAAAAGGTCTTCTTACTAGGATTATATGTATCCACCATGTATTTATTGTTGGCTTCTGCATATCTATTACTACATTGTGACACTCCTCGTTTTGCCTTTTCAAAGAACAAAATCATTTCAATATCTGTTAAAAGTTCTAATTCTACATTTGTTACTTTTAACATGGCATCAAACGCTAACCCTGGTAAAGTAAAATAATGCAAACTATCTAACCCGTATGTTTTTAAACACATCAGTCTAAAGTTTTCAAAAATATCACTTAAAAGTAATACATCACTTTTTAAATATAATTCGGCGTACTCTTTCAATGTTTTTATCTCAAATGTGTTCCAAACAGTACATGCTTGTTTATACTCCTCATGAGTTATTCCCTCATTATTAATTGTACTAAAGAAACTATCAATAGGTGGCAAGCAAGTATCTTGCAACTTTTCCCAATTATCTAGGTATTCATATGGGAAAACGCCTTTTCTTTTAACTAGATTAAATTTAAACTCATTGTCAAAGTACTGTCTCGTTATGTGTTTTTGATCATCATCTAGATTATAGGAAAGTTTATCTAATGAATCAGACATAAATCTAAAAGAATATAAATCTAAAACAAATATTTGTATCTTGAATGTATTTGGTAAATGATATATACCTCTCTTTGTTTAAAGGAAGCAGTGATATATTCCCTTTAATGTGAGTATTAAGGCTTTTAATTAAAAAATGCGCGTTATAACCAGAGAGATTATGAAATACGATAGGAATTGTATGAGAATTTTGATTATTACAAGATCTATGAGCAGCCCCTCGAAATTTCCCTGTAATATGACAATGATCTCTAACTTTATCCAATGGATCAACTATAGGTTTAGTGCAAATATGACAAACAAAACTACAAGTAAAATCATGTCTTTCCTTATCAGTTAATGGATTCAACTTTTTAAATTTTTGAAATAAATTTTCTCTAGTTATTCTCTTGGCTATCTGTTCAAGTTCTCTTACAAACCACACTTGACAATCGTGACCGGTAAATGATTTATAGTATGATAAGGAATTATAAGAAGATTTAAAATAATAAGCAATACTAAAAGCTTCATGTTTTTGAGACAAATGAGTTTTTATATTAGGATCATTGTCGTGATCCTAATATAAAAGTGATCAAAGTGATTAAAACATCGTTCACAGAACCATTTTTTGTTTCGAACATTTTTGACTTGCTGATTTAATAATCGTGAAAAATGTTTAATATAAGCAAAATGAAAGAGGCCTTTTCTACACAAAAGATCATTATCTTCATCATCACTACTGTTTGTAGTATTGTCATGAGAATGAATTAATAGTAAATTTATATGAGGGGAAAAACTGGTGTTACTTAATATCAAAGGTAAAATTTCCTTTCCTGATCCTTTTGTTGTAAAAACATTTATCGAAAAAAATTTTGTTTAAAATCCTTTATAAAAGGTATATAAAAATGCCTCAAACGGGCTATCACAAACACATTGCAAAACGTTTTCGGATTAAATCATCATAAGTGCAAACCTGAAAGTATATAACCACTTTAATTAAAAAGAACGTTAAATGAAAATGTTGACAAAGGTTAGAGCAAAATGTGGTTAATACTTACGGTTGTACATGCTAGTAGCCACCAAAATATATGGGTAAAAACCCTTTAAATGTTATAAATTTGAAGTTGTATTACATTATTAGTATTTCTAATTTGTTATGGTTAAGTTACCGTTGGATGGGTAACATGGCGGCGTATGACTCTACATGAGTAAAATGGTCCTGAGACGAAGTGTCTACGAGGACCTGTTGATAACAATTGATCAAAATGACATTGTTGACAAGATGACATTCTTGTTGATGTGTTAGTTTAAGTTATAAATTGCTTAGAATATGTGTCTCATGTCTATATTTTAAAATTAGCACTGTAAGTTAAAAAAAATAATTCAGGCATTAATGGGTTAATGTAACCCCATAGGAAAAAATCCAGTGGATTTAAACATGGTCATCTAGGTGGCCAGTGACATGGTCCTCCCCTTCCTATCCATTTATTGAGAAATTTAAGGTCTAAGTAATCTCTCACATTGCGCGAACAATAAGCCGGAGCACCATCTAATTGTAGCCACATTTGTTGCCTAACATTCAATGGTACATTTTCTAGAAGCAACCAAAAATCTGATCGAAGAAACCTCAAAAAATTATCGCCACTTATATGTCCATTAAAAAAATATAGGCCTATAATATTATTTTACATCATATATTATATTATAATATTTATTCCCAATAATTCTCCAAAAACATTAAGGCTCCATCTATTTTGGCGGTCAACAGTTCTAAATAGGTGCTGATTTTCAGTGTCGTAATAATGGAAGTTATGGCGATTTACTAGGCCATTGTTGTTGATTGTACACTCGTCTGTAAATATAACAAAATCGAAAAAATCTATGTTTTGTCCTACCTCTTCTAGTGCCCATAAACTAAAATCTAGGCACTACTAACCTCGAGTTTTAACCTTGTTTAGGCTTACGTCTCTTCAAGGAACGGGGAACTCCTTTTTTTTTGACGGAGTTGTGGGGGTTACGAGAAAAACGTCAACTGAACGAAACGCGGCCTAAGAAGCAGAGAACTGCTAAGGAAAGAAGGGGAAAAGAAGGTGGCTTATTTTGTGATCGATAAGAATCCTGAACGCACAAGAAGAAGTAGGTTTGCCTAGCACGCAGTGAGGTACTTAAGGGTTACCAGCCATACAGTAGGAACGGCTCTTTATCAGCGTTTTTGGTGCGCAGTTTATCTGCGATAGTAGATGGGGAAAGATTCTAAAATATCAAAATACTCCTCAGGAAGTTCAGGTCCAGCGTTATGTAGAAGTTTAGCTGGAGGGAATGGAACTTTTTTAGCGGGATGCCTGATGAGTATTTGCCCTCTATGTGAACAAGGTGTCTTCAATGTTTGTTTTGCTCGGTTGTTCGAGCCAGCTATGGTTCTTAAGACATACTTCCTACTGAGGGTTAGGATTCTGTCCTTGATAGGCGTGATGTTAGCTATTGCATATATGTGGGCCGATGGATACAGCCAATCTTTTCTCATGAAGAAGCGTAGTATTCTACGCTCTGTGGCGGTGATGGCATTGAGTTCGTGGTTCCTCAGGGAGTGGTAAACGCATGCCTTGTATTCGATTATCGGTCTGATGAAAGTCTTGTAGGTGTGCAACAATGTGTTAGTGGACGTTCCTCCTAGTTTACCGGCCAACACTTTCAGGAGGTTGAGCCTTTTTCTCATCCTGTCGAGGGAATCTTGGACGTCAGCCTTCCAATTGAGAGTTCTCGTAAAACGAACTCCCAAGTAGAGAACTGAGCTCCTGAGAACAAGGTCGTCTCCCAAAAGCGTCACCCGGCCCTGAAGGCCGCGTCCGTACGGGGGTCTAAATAAGATTGCTTGTGTTTTGGAGGGGTTTAAAGTAACCCTCCATTTGTTGCACCACCTCACGACTCTATCAAGATAATCTTGCGATTTCTCGAATACAGACCGTCGCTCTCCCTCCCTGTAGGAGCCTGAGGTAAGAATGGCTGTATCATCAGCGAATAGGAGAAGAGACTCTAATCCTTGCTGTGGGCGGGGGATGTCGCTATTGTAAACTGTGTATAATATTGGAGCAAGTATTGAGCCTTGAGGCACTCCTGCTTGAGGAGTGAATGGAGTGGAGAGATGCTCTCCTATTTTGATCCAAACCGTCCGGTGAGAAAGATAGGAATTTATTAGTTTAACGAAAGGTGTTGGCAGTCCAGCAAGGTGGAGTTTCTCGATCAAGCCTGCGTGCCAGACCTGATCGAAAGCCTTCTGGACATCGAGGAAAATGCCTACGACGTGCTTTCTTTCGTTAATGGATTGAGATATGAAAGTTGTTGCTTCAACCAATGCATTTTGTGTGGAGTGTCCAGCCCTGAATCCGAATTGGTAATTTGGAATGAGGAAGTGAGCGTCTAGGAATTCTACGAGTCTCTCCTTGATGATTCTCTCGTAGACTTTACCTAGGGTGCTCAGTAATATAATTGGTCTATACGATTCAGGGTTGGTGAGGGTTTTCCCTTTTTTAGGGACCATGACGGTGCTGGCCACTTTCCAAGGAATAGGAAAGTAGCTCAGCGCAAGAGATGCATTGATTATATTGGTGAGCAACGGGATAATATTCTGTGGAAGATTTTTGAGGCATCTTCTATGGATGCCATTTGGGCCAGGAGACATGTTTTTTCCTATTTTACACATCTGACTGACGGTTTCCTCAGTCACTGGCGCCATCATCGGATGAGGATGTGGTCCGTCAAGTGGCTGAGGGTAGTAGAATATATCTTCCACTCTCCGTTCGGTGGCTCTTTTGGATCTTTCACTAAAGTTGGGATTATTGGGTGAAACGAGGGTGGCCTGAAGTGTGTTTTTGAAAGCTTCGGCCTTATCTTGTGGATTGTTTAGTATGACGTTGTTGATTTTGAGATGAGATCGTGGCTGACTTTTTTGTCTTGTTAGGACTTTGAGTTTATTCCAGAATGCAGAGCCATCCCGGTAGTCGAGGTCCGAGGTGACTCGCATCCACTGTCTTTGTTTCTGCTTGTTCACCTCGAGTCTTATGACCGCCGAGAGTCTATTGTATTCTGTTTTGATGAGGGGGTCTCTGAATCTTTTATACTCTCTGAGTAATCTACGTTTGCTTTTGATTTGCGCGATGATTTGCGGCGGAAGTGTTGGAGTATATGGATTGTATCTTGTTTTCGGAATAGCCAGGGCTGAGGCTTCTTGAAGAAGTTTCTCAACTTTGGAGATCCCTGTGTCAACTTGGTAATGTGTTGACATAATGCCTAACTCGGAAAGGTTTTGATTGACATGTTCTTGGAAAAGATCCCAATTTGCTCTACGATAATTTATCCTATAGATGGCAGGTCTTGGTTGGGGTAAGGAGTTGAAGTCAGTGTTGACTAGAAGAGGAAGATGGTCAGAGGTTATGGAATCACCAATGAAACATTCATCATCCATCCTCTCAAGCAGGTTAACCGTGCATAAGATATGATCGACTATGGACATTCCTTGGTGATTGAAGAACGTGACCTCTCGATTGGTGATTCTGGAGATTGGCAGCTCTAGAAGAAGGTCTGAGAGCTGTCTGCCTGGAATATTTGAGGTTGTATCACCAAATTGAGTGTGCCTGCTGTTTAGATCGCTCATTAAAACCGCCTTGTCTAGTGTGGAAAAATACTCGACAAGGGGTAGGGAAAGGGGTGAGTTTGGATGATTGTAGTAGGATATTATCGTGATCTTGGTGTTGTCTTGTAGGTGAATGTCAACTGCCAGGAAGTCGGTGTCATGGAGCTGGCCTAATATATGAGGAGGAGTGTGAGGTGTAGAGGGTATAGAATGGTGTATTAATAGACCGTTACCATGACTGTCCTGGCTTTTGTTTAAATGGTGTGAGGTGTATCCTGCGAAATTAGGGGGGGTTTTAAGTCGGGTGTCGGTGAGAGAGAGGATTTGTATGTTTTGGGAAAAGAGTAAGTGTTTTATTAGTGCTCTCTTTCGACCGACCCCCGAACAGTTGACCGTACCTATTACACAGTTGAATGTAGCGACTTACTGGATGGAGACGAAGGTCATTTCGACCTTATTGTTTCTAGAAGTGGGCACTATAGAGTGCCCAAACATCTTACCCGACAGGTCGGACGAGTACCTTGCTATGGTCTCTCTCCTATCTGGCAGGATGTTCATCAGCAGCGTGGTCGTGAATTGGATCCACAACCTAACGTCTGCTGTGAGTGTCGCAGGAGGAATCCTTCTCTCAGTGATAAGAGGTTTTGCCTCTTGATGCGAGAAAGGTGTCTCCTGCCTTTTGGGGCATCTAGGTGACCATGCTGGGTGTGTTCCCTTGCAATTTGGGCACCTAGGGTTTTTAAGATTGGGACAGTCGGCGCTTTTGTGCTCGCCGCTACCGCAATTAGGGCAAGTTGTCTGTCGCGTCCGACACTCGGAAATTTCGTGGCCGCTTTGGCAGCATCTGCTGCAGTATTTGGCGGTGGGTTTCATTATGTTGGGGTTGTGAGGAGCCTCACGTGGCCTGATCAAGCCATCTATACAGATGCCGTTGATCAAGGCGTCCGTGTAATACTCCTCAGCGTCGAGGAACATTCGGACCATTCTGGTTGGCTTGTTGAATCTTTGTGAAACGATTCTATGAAGCGAGTTGAAAGGAAAATCGATTTCAACAAGGCTTAGCCCGAGTTCCTCGGTGGTGACAGTGGTGTCTACGTCACAGATGACGAGATGGAAAGGGGATTTAGTGTCTGGTTGTGTCCTCTTGGTGGAGCGTTGTCGTGAGTTTTTAGGCTCAATAACTATAGCAGGGTCACCAGTTCTGTCCTGAAGCGCCCTTGACATATCTTAACATTCAAAGTTTTGGATGTTTCCAGATATGCCAATTGGTCCTTCGGCACGAACTTAAGATTCACCATTACACCCTTGAAGAGTTCTTGGGTGTTGACTAATTGGTAAAACTTACGTTGAGTGTCGTAAGCTCCAGGGATGTTGAGTATTCTATAAGTGAACCTTTGCGGAGGTTTCACTTGACTCTCAGTACTGGTGGCTGGCTTTGAGGCACTTGGTGCCTCGATAGCTTGGGTTGGTTTTGGATTCGTTTTTGAGGTGGAAGGCACCTCAATGGTGGGAGCGACAGTAGCCATTTTTTGTTTTTAGCGGCAGCGGTAGCTGGATTGGTGGCTGGAGTAGGTGGCTTGGGTGGAGGTGATGAGGTAGCTTTAGCTACATTTGGAGTTTTGCGTTTAGGTTTGGTGGCGGATTTGGTTGGTTTCTTAGGCCTCTTTGACCTGGAGCGGGTCCGTGGTCTAGAGGCTGGTGAAGTTGCTGGTGTGGTGGCTGTGGAGTTATCGGAGTTGACCTCCTTAATTTTTGGAAGAGGAGGAAAGTCCTCATAGCCATCGGAGTCGTTTTCGTCCTCCGTGGCAGGGTGGGCAGGGTTGAGAATCGGCCTCAGAATGTTGAGGTCGCTGACTATTTTGGTTTTAGCATCAGGAAACCTGATGAATGCTTCCTCGATTATGGAGGCCAGTCTGACTAGAAAGTCGCCAGCTGGTTCCACATCGTAAGGGGGGGGGTGTCTAGGGATGGCATGCTAGGTCTAGCTGGAGTTGACGACATCACTGAGGCGATGGAATCTCCACCTCAGGACGTCCGATTGCTCCGTGGACCCAGAGTCCAAGATTGGGAAAAATCGGCTGCTAAGAGCGGGTTTTTTGTCGGCGTTTCTTGCTAACCAATGGCAGACTCACCACCGGCAACGAGAGAACCTCGTTGGATAAGGGTGTCTTGTCCTCACAAGAAACGCTTCAGTGCTCGCTAGGCACTAACGGACCCTCGCGCACTATCTAAGAACGCCTCCGAGGGACGTCCTTGCGGACCACTACCCTTGGAGACGCTCTATAACTACTCCCAGTCTACGTTACCTCTGTTCAGCAATACCTCCTAACACCTACTGATTTCCTGCGTTTATTATTATTGGTTTCTATATGTATGTTATTTTGGTTTTTTCTATGTTTATTATTGGTGGAATAAAATTTTTAACTTCTTGGTGGAATGGTGGTTAACTTCTTTTTCTATGTATATTAATTGGCTATTTTCGATATGTGTATTGGTTTAGATTTATATGTATACTAATATAGATATGTATACGAATTGTTTTCTATATATTTATTAATATACTTATTGTTTGGAAATTGTATATTTATTATTCAGATTTCTCTATATTTATTAATTATTGGATCATCAATCTTCTTGGCTGCTACTGCACTCGAATGATGCGAGCCGGTATGCGGACAGTGACCCTTTCGCTTCGAGTGCCTGGTGTGTGAAAATCTAGGCGTTGTTGAAAATCGGTTCCATATAAATGTTGATGGAATTCAATATGGTATGGGCGGAGTCGGTGTTTCTTTAGAATTCTCCTTACACTGGTTCTGGGTATGTCTATTTGATTTGAAATTTTTCTACCGCTAGTGTTAGCATCCTCTGCTATTGAAGCTAATACATTAAATTCGTTTTCTTCATGGTCAATGACAGGTTTATTCGGAGTTTGTTTTGAATATGCAACACTACCTGTTGTACGAAACCGATCTAAAATTCGTTCTAGAGTTCTCTTATCTGGTCGATCCCTATTTGGGTACTTTTGGGCATAAGCTCTTGCCGTTAAAAAACAGTTTTCGTTACATTCACCTATGATGAGAATCATATCCACCCGTTCTTGAATAGAATATTGCTTCATTTTTTTTATATCAAAATAAACTAAATAAAAATATGTAATATATAATAGCACACTAGTGTGTAAACTGACAGTTAGTTGACTAATTATTTGTTATAAGGAGTACGTTTTGTATACAATTCTAAATGTCTAAAACTATGTATGTAATATAAAATAGTACAACAGTTTGTAAACTGACAGTTCATAGCTATCTTGGTTAAAGAAATTTACTAATTTGTTATAAAGTATAGCTATCACAGAACTTTGGTTTTATATCCAAAACTGTCGAATATGGGTATAGGGAATATTTATATTTTTTTGAAAGGTATTTGAAATATCTTTCAGAAAATTAAAAAATATACTGGGTGTCACATTTAAAATAGAGCAGTTTTTAATGTTTAAAGGTGCCACTAATTAATATCTAATTCGCAAACACCCTGTAAAATATTTTTGAATAGTAAGTATTTGATTTTAGAGTACAATTAATTCTTAATCTTCCATAAAAAATTAATTTTAAATATTAGGAAATTTAGGAGTTATTGGCATGTTTTAAACATCCCTTATTTTTAAAAATACTTGGATACATCAAAAACGGTAGACTCTAGGTATAACAAACCTTTAACAAAGTGACACTTATTTTGTTCTTAGAATTCAAAAATGCAATAAAATACAGGGTGTCCCATTTAAAAAAAAACATAACTTTGGTGTGTAGCACTTTCCTGGAGCACCCTGTATAAATGAAATTATTTTTAAAAAGTAGCTTTTTTGGATATATGTCTCTTAATGAAAATGAATTTTTGAAAATAAAATTTGTTTCGGCTGTACAGACCGAGGCGTTAACGGCGGCCCACCCTGTATTGTAAATCAGATTTTCTCGTAATTAATCTACTTACTGATTCCATTTTCTCCACAATTTCGTTGGACGTCTGATCAACAACTTGTTGGCTCATGGTTGATGGGTGTACGTTCACAACACAACGAAAACTCAAATAAAACTAAAATGGGAGGATGCTTTCATATTTATCCATATTCAGATAAAAAGTCAATTGACGTATTTCTGTAACTGGTTAGTCAACGTGACCTTATTTTCCAAGATTCAACAAAATGTAAACTAGTTATTATTAAACGTGATTAGTCAACGTGACTTAATTTGTAGAAGCAACAAATTAAAATTTAGTATATCGTCCCCTTTCTGCGTCAACCTCGTAACTACGAATAGCAAATTTTTCAGGAGAGCAAAAAAACGTATAATGCTAATGTCGTTAAACATTTAATAATTTTAGTGACTTGAAAGTAATACAGATGATTTAAATAACAATTATTTGGTGCATTTTTCCTATTGTACTAATATTTTTTCAAAATATAAGCATTTTTGTTATTTACGAGGTTGCCGCTCATAAATTTGTAGTTATTATGGTGCAGATACGAGTTTGCTGTTTTAGGTCTCTAAAAAATTAGTCGGTTCAAGGAATAAGTAATATGAAAAAAAAAACAAATCAATAACATTTTTAGGTATATTTATTCACGATTATTACAAAAAAAAACAAAGAACAATAATTATAAAAAATACTTTTCAATATAAAAAAACCACTTATAGGTGCAATAAATTGTTATAAAAGTTGTGGTAATCACTTAATACCAGTCTTTTTAAGCTTTGCAGATCATTATATTTTTTGACTTGTAAAGGTATGGGACCACTGTAAAGTGAAGTTATGACACTATCATCTAGTTGCGCTTTTCGGTTAGGTGACACTAACCAATTATCGTCATAGTTTAGTTTATAAAACATGCTAGTGTTAGTGAATTTTAAACACTTTATATCTGTAACGCATGGATCATCGGCTTTACAACCTGGTCTTATAGATTTATAATACGCAACTTTAGAGTAATCTTTAAAGAATTTGTGATCAATATAGACCACTCTGTATGGCTCTGGTGAAATTCTCTATTGTTTAATTAATTGAACAAAATCTGCTGGAACATATAATTCTCGAGATTTTTTTTTCATTCTATTGTTGAGTGCACAGAATCGCACTCCATTTGTGTGTGCCCAACTGTAAGGTATTTTTGATAAATTATTGCTTTATATTTCGAAGCAATGAGTTATAAAGCATTAGACAAGTTAACGTTGCGATTCTGTGCACTGCAACCATAACTGAATAGTACAGTTTTAATACTTAAATCTACAAAGGTTTCCAAAAAATGTGAAACACAAGAGGCAAAAATATTTGAATCCATACCCCCTTCCCCCTCATGCCAGACATAGGCTTCTTTCAGACGGACGACATTTTGTCGTAGTCGTGTACGGCAACGATATCGTGTATAGCAGTTAACTCATTGATTAAATGTAAACTTTCACACGACGCGATTTAAAATCGTAGGCGTACACGACTGTCGTAGTACCCCGGCGGGATCACTGCGACGACACGATGTCGTGGTCGTGAACGACTGCAGTGGTACAAGCAAGTCCATTCTCGTTTTCACACTTGTCGTGCGTAGGCGAAAAAATCGTGATTTATTCTACAGTGGTAGTGAATTTAGCTTTAAAAATATTTGTAAAATATTAAAAAAAAAATGGATATCGAAATTGATAACGAGCTTCTTATCAATCTTGTTGAACAGCGGCCGGTGTTATGGAATAAAACTTTAGAAGAGTATAAAAACCGAAATAAGACATTACAGGGTTGGAAAGAAATTTGCAGAATTTTAAAAGATGGATTTGATGAGATGTCAGAAAAAGAACAAAATGAAATTGGTAAGTAAAAATATTTCGCTTTATTTATTACATTATAATGACTTAGCTTAGTAAACTCATATTTTTAAATGTTGCCAAGGGACTTGTTTGATCCTAATTTTATGTTTAACCATGAGTGGACCGCTTTTAGTTTAAAAATACGTTTTTTATTTCACGCGGTAAAAAAGAGTAGGTTTGTACTGAAAATAGGTGAGTTACCATAGAGACATCAAACTAGAAACATCAGTCAGAATAAATATATACATTGTCACATTTTTACGAAGTTTTACGTTTCGCTTAGCGTTGTTGGGTGCTGATACAAATAAATGCAGTTTCGCGAATAAATAAACTTCAAATAGTCATTTTAATGTGAATTTCCTACAGCCGATCCAATCGACAACAAAGATAGGACATCACAAAAAGTGCTCAAACGCCCGTTGGCTTTTTACAGTCCTCCAAAAAAAAGGGCGAGAGCAAACATTGGTCTTCGAGCCAGATTGGTCTACTTCGTCTGGATTTTAGCACCCAAAGAAAACATCGCTTCGTCTGAATTTGGTACCTACAGCTTGCAGCATCGAGAAATAAAGGTTAGAATATTTATTCACATACTTTAATCTTGCTTTGAGAGTACATAATTTATTGGCATATGGTTTGGTTTTAATTAATATTCTATTCACTTTATAAGATAATACATATACTATAAGCAGCCTCCCATAGCAGCACCAATCGAAAGGAATGTCGTTTATTTATAATATAATTAACGCATTTTTAAATCAAATTTATTTATAATAAAGACATCCCAAGCATTATTAACATTCGGCCCAACATAGCCATACCACAATCGTTACACCTAACTCATACCTTCATTTGCATACCTCTTATGTTTTATTGCTTACTTATTTACCTATGCTTACTGCATTTAATTGATCAATGTATTTATCATATTAATTAGTATATTCCAAAATACATTAACCTTATAACCGTCTCTTAAACCTATTAGCGTAAATAAATTCATAAAAATGGCTAATGCTGAAAGCCTTAAACACCTTGTAGCTCGTCGTGGCACTATTAAAGCGACAATGACTCGTTTTAACAATTTTCTTGAAAAATGTGGAACTCCTTTGTCTGGCACAGTCAGTCTTGAATTGCAAACGCGTCTGGATGCTTTAAAAATGTCAGTTGTTGAGTTTGAAAAAGTACAGTGTGACATTGAACGTATTTGTCTGTTTGATACAACCCCTAACCTCGGTAATCAAGATGATGAACGAGAAGAGTTCGAAAGCAAATATTATGCCTTAGTAGCTAAAGCGACATTACTTCTCAAACAAGCAGCAGGAATGTCAACGGATCAGCCACCCAGGTCATCTTCGCCAGTGCTCAACTCTCATCGTCTTAATTCATATTTACCACCTATTCCATTACCCCTATATTCTGGATCCTACGAAACGTGGACAAATTTCAAAGAAACCTTTGAGTCACTTATTGACAACAATCCTACTATTCATAAGATCAAAAAATTTTATTATCTTAAATCCAGTTTAAAGGGAGAAGCCGCTCAGATTATTGGAGCACTATCCGCAACCGAAGCAAATTATGAAACGGCCTGGCATCTACTGTGCGACCGTTATGAAAACAAAAGAGCAATTATTCATGCTCACGTTAAATCCATCTTCGAGCTAAGTCCTACTAAAGAAGAGTCGTCTCATTCGCTGAGGAAACTTTTAGACACCTTCGTCAACCATTTTAAATCTTTAGAAAACTTAGGGGAACACGTCTTCGAGTGGAGTACAATTCTAATATATCTCTTAACATCTAAATTGACATCAATTCTCGAAAGGAATGGGAAAGGGTATCAACAGGAAATGAATCACCCGATGTGCAACATTTCCTAAAATTTTTGTCGGAAAGATGTAAATTTTTAGAATCAGTGGAAACAAAATTCCACCAAAAGATATCTCATAAAAGAGATGAGCCTAACATCAAGGCATCTTACAAATCTTCAACCCTTACCACCTTAACTCAAGCGCCATCAAGGTGCAGTCTATGCTCAGACAACCATTTTATCTACTCTTGCTCTAAGTTTCGTACCATGCCGATACCAGACCGATTTGCTAAAGTCAAGGAACTTCATCTGTGCACAAATTGCTTAAGAGCCGGACATAAAACTTTAGAATGTAAATCTAGCTACTCCTGTAAGACATGTCAAAATAAACACCACACTCTTTTACATAGAACTCAATCTGAGTCGCAAAATCATCATTTTAAAAACAATGTATCTACCACATCTAAT